TTATGTAAGTTCTGTCTCCGGGCTCTTCGGCACCGATACAGGTTTCAGCACTGATAGAGGCACCAGCATCGGCCCCGTGGGCCATGCCGGTACCACCATCGCCAGTAACACTGATCCCTTTGAGATTTGTCTCTGTAACTCTAGCGCCTTCATCCCAGCCTGTGGTAGTTTGCGGGAACAGCGATGGGGCTGCTGGCAGGAGGACAGCCGGCTTTCCGGCTTTTGGGGTTCTGCAACCGGCGCTGACTTCGACAGCACAGCCATCCACCGTGTCGGCACCATAACCAGCACCAGGACCTGTCTTCCCAGCACTGACTCCACTCACAGCACTGGGACCTGTCCTCCTGGCACCGCAACTGGCACTGGGACCTATCTTCCCAGTGCCGGCATGCCCTCATCGCACGCACGCGGGCAAACCCGAGTCTATGGCCAGGTTTGCTCCCCCACTGGTGGCATAGCATTCGTCATCTGTGCCCCCCTGGCCTGAGTCTGACTACTTGTCAGATTCTGATGTGGCCTTGTTCAGATCGGAGTCCTCGGGAGCTTCCTCTCGTCATAGATCCTATTCCCGGCACTGGCGTGATCGTTCGCGTGTGAAGCAGACTTGGCCGCCTCAACCGCAATGGACCTTCTGGACACCGTGGGCATACCACCAGTGGCAGGGGCCTGTGCCCTCCTCTGTGGTGTCCGGTGTCTCAAGGCACCGAGCGCAACTGTCGGCATCGCTGTCACAACCCTCTCCTTCGCCCCAGAGGTCTGTTACTACAGATGCCGCTACAGAGCCACAAGCCTTGGTGCCAGAGCTTCTCCCCCAAACGGTGCCGCCTGTCCAGCCAGCTCCTCAACCGGGCCCTACGCTGGATCTGGTACCGATCCAGGAGTCGTCATCATCTTCGTCTCCTGACGAAGCCTTGGTGGATCCCGCACTGGCATTGCCTACTATGGATGCTCGAGTGCATCAGATCTGCTTAGGCTTCTGGCCTCCAATCTGGGTGTCCCTGTGGAGCCAGTAGTGGAGGACACGGACCCCCTGATTGACATCCTCTCTGACAATGCGCCCGCTCGCTTGGCTATGCCACTTAATAAAACCAAGATTACTAACGCCCTGTGGCAGACCCCAGCTTCCCTGACCCCTACCTTAAAGGGAGTCGAGAGGCACTATTATGTCCCCCACTCGGGGCATGAACACCTGTACTCCCAACCTGTTCCGGGTCCTTGGTCGTTCAAGCTGTGGCTCAAAAGAAGAGGCTTCCGCAGCCGGGGCTGTCCCCGAAGGCTAGGTAGCCCAAACACCTTGACCTGATGGGCCGTAAGGTGTATGCCACTGGTGGGGTGCAGCTCCGCATTGCTAACCAGCAAGCGATGCTGAGTCGATATGTTTATAATACATGGCAGGCGGTGGATAAGTTTAAGGATAAGCTCCCTGCCGAGGCTCGTCAGGAGTTTGCGGCCATGACCTTGGAGGGCAGAACCATCACCCACATGGCCCTTCAGGCTTCCCTGCATGCTGTTGACTCTGCAGCCCATACCATGGCATTGGGTGTAGTTATGTGGCGTGGTGCCTGGCTGCAGTTGTCTGGAATACCTCCGAACGTCCAAACCACGATTCAGGACCTGCCTTTTGACAGCAAAGCGTTGTTTTTGGGGCACACTGACTCCAGGCTACATACGCTTAAGGACACAAGATCTACTCTCCGGTCCTTGGGGATCCACATGCTGGCCCCTCAGCATCGTCAGCTTCCTTATAGACAGCAGGGGAGAACGCAGTCCCAGGTCCCCCCACACACCGGCTCCTTAGCGTCATCAGCTACCCTACAGGCAGCAGGGGAGACCGCAGTCCCAGGTCCCCCATGGGTATTACTGGAGACGCCATCCTTGTCCTCCCGGTGGGGGTGCAGGGGCAGCTGCGGGCCCCTCGTCCATAAGTGGACGTAGACATCGTCCGAGGGGGGACAACCCCCATGGGGTTGGTCAAGGCCCCTCCCAGCAGCATAAGCACCAATTTTGATGGGCTCCCAGAGAGTTGTACACCAACCTCCCACCCTGGCCCCCTGTTTGGGGATTTTTTCAGGCATACGGTTTCTGTTGATAAGTTAATATGACTCTCTGTTCAATCAAAATCAGATTCAACAGAAACTTCAACTTCTGTGGCAGGCCTACACAAGAGTCTCACTACGTATTACATACATTCTGAATTATCAGGATTTAAATACACTATCAACATACAATGTGTAACAAACAAAACACATTTCATATGTTTTGTTTCAAAGTATCTTTTAAATACTTTAATCAATGTTGTTGTCTTATACATAGTTGAAACCCAGAGACCAGTTACCTGTTTAGCACTTAGGAACAGAAAGGTTTTGCCTCCGAAGATCGTATTTCTTTCTTGACGCATAGACAGATCCAATTTTTCTGTACCAATAGCGGGCTCATCAACTGGAGGATAAAAACTACAAAGATGGGGAAACAAAGTAATAACACTCAGATGCACATGTTTTATGCAGCTGTTTACTGTGATTTATTTCTACTTTGTTTAGTTCAGAAGACATCTCTGAAGGCAGGACATCAGACGATACTGTAATTATTTTCTGCTGTTATAACTACCTATAAAATAGACAAAGGAGGGATTGGATCTTTCCAGTAATTTATAACAGTACGTGGAGATTCTCGTATCTGAATCAGTGACCTGAGGCAGAGATCCCTCTTCGTAAGCCTGGGACTCATGCTAAACAAGGAAAGTCATTGTTGACTCCCTCTCAGCACCTTGAATTCGTAGGTGCTCTCTTAGACGCCAGGGTGGCGAAAGCACTCCTCCCCAGAACCAGGTTTCTGTCCGTAGTGGAGCTGGTCTCCGAGTTAACCCGGTTCCCCATCACTACCGCCTGGGTCTGCTCGAGGCTGCTGGGACACATGGCGGCATGTACATATGTGGTATGCCATGCTCGAATGAGACTCAGGCCGCTGCAGGCCTGGTTGGCAAGGGCATTCAATCAGTCCAGGAGTCTCTGGGACACGGTTCTCACAGTGCTTCTGGAGGTGATAGCCTCCTTACAATGGTGGACTCAGGAGGCTGTGGTGTGCAGCAGGGTTCCGTTTACTGTACCTCCTCCCTCACTTACACTCGTCACAGATGCTTCGGACCTGGGTTGGGGAGCGCACCTGGGATGTCACAGAACCCAAGGCCTGTGGTCTCCTGCAGAGCGGGCTCTGCACATAAATGTCCGGGAGCTCAGGGCAGTCAGGAGAACCTGCGAGACCTTCTTGTCGAAGCTGTCTTGCCGCTCTGTCCTGGTGTGCCTGGACAACACGGCGGCTGTGTTTTACCTCAACAGGCAGGGGGGATCCTGGTTGCCTCCTCTCTGCCGCAAGGCCTTGGGGCTGTGGGACCTGTGCGTACCGCACGATATAGTATTGCAGTCAGAGTACCTACCGGGGTGCAAGAATCTGTTGGCCGATGCTCTGAGCAAGTCCTTTGGAGCCCACGGATGGTCTCTCATCAGGTTTTCCACAGGTGGGGTTATTCCTTAGTGGACCTGTTTGCCTCGGCACACAATGCCAAGTGCCAGAGTTACTGCTCCCTGTTAGGGCTGGGGGAATACTCCAGGCGAGATGCCATGTCCGTGCCGTGGCCGGCGGGCATCCTCTATGCATTCCCTCCATTTCCCCTAATTCCCAGGGTTCTGACCAGGGTCAGGACCTTCAGGTCCATGGTCATCCTGATAGCCCCTCGGTAGCCCAGGCAGTTCTGGTGCCCGATCCTGATGGATATGCTCACCGAGGAGCCTATAACGCTCCCACTGGTTTGGGATCTCCTCACCCAACCTTGGGATGGGGGGCTCATGGTTCACCCGAATCTCAGCTCTCTCCACCTGACAGCCTGGTTTATCCATGCCTGACCCAACCAGAAAGGGAATGTTCCCAGGAGGTGCAGATGGTGCTCCTAGGTAGCAGGAAGCCGTCCACCAGGCAGTCCTACACAGCCAAGTGGCAGCGGTTCTCGTCTTGGGTGTCCAGAAGGGGGGGTGCACCCATTCTGTGCACCTGTCCCATCCATTCTGGACTACCTTTTCGAGCTTAGGTCCGGTGGCCTCTCTACCTCTTCTATCAAAGTCCATGTGGCATCACTCTCCGCCTTCCATGTTGGATCGGCTGGAGTCTCTCTGTTCTCTGACCCTGTGGTCAAAAGGTTCCTTAGGGGTTTGGATAAGTTGTACCCCTCAGTTAAACCCCCTCTGCCCATTTGGGACTTTAACCTCGTGTTGTCTAGACTGGTGTAGTCTCCTTTTGAGCCGCTGGCCACGTGCTCTCTGAAGCACCGCCATATGCTCTTTGAAGCACCTCTCTATGAAGGTTGCGTTCATTGTGGCCATTACGTCGGCTCGCAGGGTCTCCGAGCTGAGGGCGTTAACTGTAAACCCACCCTACCTAGTGTTCTCAGACAATAATGTGAGGCTCTGCCCTCATCCAGCCTTTCTCCCCAAGATGGTGTCACCATTCCATTTGTCCCAAGAAATTTACCTCCCAGTTTTCTTTCCAAAGCCCCATGCCTCCCCTAAGGAGCAAGTGCTCCATTCCCTGGATGCTAGACGTGCGCTAGCTTTTTATATTGATAGGACTAAACCCTTTCGCAAATCCACACAATT